AATAGGGTCACAGGGGCACTATACTCCACACTTTGCATGTGGTCCTGTCTGTTCTTGAAAGCACCTACAGCAGAAAGAAATCCCATTTTCTTTTACATCTTGTGTGATGTTTACCAGAGAGAGAGGGGGATCAGCATGATACACAGTAGAGTTTAAGCAATTTGATTCTCTGATTTTCTGCAGGAAAATAGCTTTAATCTGATTCTAACTAGCCGCAGACAATTTACACCTCTTTATGGAAACACTATTCCCCGATGGTGCTGGCTTTTTTTTCTGCAGCATAGTGCACCCGCCACCGCATATTGTTCAGGAATGGTCTGAGAAACATTACAAAGAGTTCAAGATCGGAAAAACAAATCAGATGTAAGGAGGCCCCACCTTGCAACTTCCTACACAATATCGGGTTTTAATGTTGTGGCTGATTAGTGTAAATTATACTAATAACATTAGTGATTTATACTTATTATGGACACAAAGCATCTTTTCTTTGATATAAATCTTTTTCATCAATGATGCACACATTATAAATTAGTGTGTTCTGAATATTATTGAGTATTCAAAATACGAACTTAAGTGATAACTCAGAAAATGTTCATGCTGACAGATCGCTTTGCTCGCTTCTCTTCCTGAAATTTGTGTTTTCAGAGGCAGTAGTGAATGATATCAGTGGGGAGAACAAGGCAGGGGCAGGTGATGTCTCTGCCAGCCAGCATGTTATGGTGTGTGCTTTAAAAGAGCTGGGCAGTTTGGTTCAGAGTTTGAGTGCCACAGCTTCACCACTCATCCAGGAGCCTTCTGTAGGTAAGATAAACAGAATACAAAACAGGATATTCACTGTTATCACTCTCGGGTTTCTGGCAACACAAGCTCGTGTGACATAAATCCTAATTTAAAATAAGGCTGAAATCCTTAAATAACTTATTCCACATCCACTTCTTCAGGACTCCTTGAAACCGTGACCTCAGTGCTGCTGCACCCAAGCATGGCAGCACGTTTGGCAGCTGCATGGTGCTTGCGTTGCGTCGCCGTTGCGCTACCCTATCAGCTCACCCCTCTGCTGGACCGCTGTGCTGAGAGAATCAACAACCTGAAGAGTTCGCCTGAGGCTGTAAGCGGTTACAGCTTTGCGATGGCTGCTCTGCTGGGAGGCGTGCACCAGTGTCCACTGGGTATCCCCCACACCAAGGGCAAGGTGTGTAGCCTCAGAATTTGGCCTTAGTGGTTCTTTCAAATGTATGTCAGACTTGATTGACTAGCCTCGCTGTTCTTGTAGTTGGTGGTGAGTATAGCTGAAGACCTTCTGCGAACAGCTGCTCAGAACAGCCGTCTGTCCCTGCAGCGCACGCAGGCTGGATGGCTTCTGCTGGGAGCCCTGATGACTTTGGGTGAGCCTCAAAGACACTTCCTGATTTTGGAGTTTTTCAGAAAT